AATCTCCTCTCCGATGACTGTAATCATCATTGCCAAACCTAAATAATCCGACACGTAGCAGCAGGTTCGCCACCATGAACCCACCATGAAATCACATCAAATCAGAAAATGTCTAACTACGTCACCAGTGATATGAGTCATATATTATTATACCTACCTACATAATAAAGTAAGGACCAATGTACTTCGTTTCGTCGTAATATATAACAATTAGGTAGATACTGGTTATATTTGTGGTAATTTTATATGGAGAGATACAAATCATATTAAAACTAGAGAAACCCATTGAAGTTCTTCTCCAGAGTACATTTTTATAGTTTTTCAAGAATGTTTATTCTATTTCAGCAGAACGACAATAGGTTGCCTACACTAAGAAAATGGAGATTTGATTTTATAATAGAATTTACATATGAGTATATTTTGCTTCATAAAGTCTGTGATACTGAGAGTCTACCTCTCTCTTTGTCTTCGTTAATATTAATACTATTAAAGACCCCCCAATACATTTGATGAAACGGCAACAATAGTTCGCTGGAATCATATCACAAAATTGTAACAATTTTTAATATTCACGTGAATAGCGAAACGTCAAACGTCTATGGCTATATACTTTTACGGCCGCTCCCAATTACTTATCTGGTTTATGTGGCTTACTGTCACAAAATATAATATAAAATGTCAAAACGATAATAGCTATTTCGATATAAGACTGAAAAAAAGGTATTTTCTCCAATTTAAATACTAATGTTTCTAATAATTTTCGCATTTAAGGGAATAAAAAATGCTGTCAATCACGGAAGCGCATATTTTTCTAAACTGTAAATAATAAGATGTTATAAAAATCAGTCACCTAAGTTATTCAAAAACATTAATATAAGTCTTGCCATGTTCGGTGTCACTGTTCACCACCCTATTACCAACTCATTTATCAGGAAACATATAATACTAGGAACGGCCGTAAAACACCGTCTCTTATCAGCTTATCATTATTTCAGTATTTGCAATGCATTTTAAAAATATAGTTACACAATTATTCACACACTCCCAAACAACAGCGTAATTAAGGTCACAATAAATTATAAAGTGTCTTTTAATCAATAATAACAATTGATCAATGATTAAATCCTAAAATGCAATAGAAATTACACATTTTCGTTAAGCAATTTTAAACCTTATGACGTAGAAATAACACTGAGAACTGTACAAATAGGCTAAATTTCATTGTCTGATTACAAATCCAAGATGCTCTTTTATGCAGCAATACTCACAAATATTACATATTTTATCACGAAAGTAACTTAACTAAACAAATATGATTCGATGATTTCATAATCTTATTGCGCGAGACGATACGATATATCTACATAATATACTACATAATGACATACAATAAAAAAATATATATGCACTGGTCGGAAAAAACGCGTGAATTATGTTAGACTTGTTTCAACCCGTAACTGAATATTATTTTTAAACAAATATCCAGTTTATGGCATTGGTTGAATATAATCATAGTTTAAATGATATATATATATATATATATATATATATATATTATGAAAGTAAATTAAGTGTTTAGAATCGCAACTGGAACACATTGTAAACTTTATTCTTAAGTAGCAGAGTACTCATTAGTCTAACCAACACCTTCTACTACAATGTATATAATATATTGAACCGCAGCTTAACGGAAACACCCTTTGTTCTGTATATTTTCATAGTAGAATGACTATCTTCTAATACGCTCTCTAAATAGTTTCAACAAACAACGTTATTCAAGTCTTAGTATAGAAATAGATCATGATTGCCCAACGTAAGACGCGAATCACTCCACACATGATCATGACCACTGATATAGACATCGCAATCATTAAAAAAATCCCTTTAAATTGAGATATTACAGGTACAACTGTAGAAATAAATATCCTGGAAGTTTAATTATGAGATATGCATCATTAATAAGAATTATTAAAAATGGAGATGGACGTATTTAATCTCTCAATATTACATCTGAAGGAGAATTAAACAATGCTATCGGTACTATTTAACAACAGTTCAAGTGAAGATACTCATCAAGGAAATTCAGAGTTCAACAAACTGTAACTTCCCTAAATCAGACTTCCTTTAATATATAAAGTACTAAATAAAGATTCTGCAGCTCCATGGGTAGAATCTGTGATAGGATTTTTATTTCCGGGAAGGTTCTTATTCCAGAACTTAAACTTGATCATGTTACTCTGATAAAACAAGCAGAAACTTTCTCTATAATAAATAGCACTTTATAGAACAAATGAATTAATAAGTAATATGGACGAAAAAGTTTTTACTGATCAATAAATACTTGGGTTTCACGGTTAAATCAATTGGATTCATCATTAATCTGTGGTTTATTAGCATTAATTCTAGATCCTCAAATGATTTATTATGTTTATTATGTATAGTGAGTGCTAAGCTAGAAGGTGAATTAAAAAGATTTTGATTGATTTGAATGATTAAAAAAATTTATATTTTTTATTTTATTTTATTCCAAAGTTTGTCATTTGCAGGAACATTCCCCAGGATGCTTGCTATCAATAAATAGTTACTATAACTTGAATATAAGAGAGAGGTAAGTTTTGTGGTATCGTATTTAGTTTTTATATAATTTGACGCGTGGTCTATATTGTCTATGTCCGTGATCATGACACTGGGTACGTGGGCCTCACATCCTAACAATATCTTAAAGACATATAGAGAGTAACAACAGAGACGCGGCGCGCCAGCCAGGCCCGCGCCGCCCCGCGCGTGGTCGTCGCTGAAAAACTCGGTACCATCGCACAATCATTAACTAAATTTTATGATAAACATTAAAATATCTGATATGAAGAATCAACTATTCTAATCATTTATTGTGCGCAAACATGCAAATATAAGGAAGACGACAATTATTAATATAGAAATCATTGAAACACGCGAGTTTTCCATCGACGACCGCGGCACACCATCGAGAAAAAAACATTTATTCGTAATTGGATCACATCAGAATTAATGAATAAAGTCAAAGTGCTCGAAGTTATTATTCAGTGACACTTCAAAATACATTAATTCGAAATGTAAAAATATTTACAGCGTCCCGCTTTCTCTTATATTATGTACCATACCTATCGACGTCCCTTCCTTGAGATTACCCGCCTGTGACGTCACACTGCCCAGCAATAATTTGCGCATGAAACGACTAACATTGTGTACTTAATATCATACTAATCTCTCATTAAAATACATCAGCCATCGAATGCTTTCTTACAAATAACAACGTGTTGTTATTAACCTCTCGCTGGGAACTAACGTCGTCGACAATATTCACTACAACTTCGAGATCTAACTATATCATGTTGTAATACTGCAAAATACCCAAACGCGCCGGCGGCCGCCGCCGTCGCCACCGTGAATTTTAACATCTCGGTAGAGAAACTTTACGACTAGGTTGTATGTTTAACGTTTATAAATTTCAGAAATGTCCTATCTATGATTCTAAGTTGCCTATGCTGTTTATACTACATTCTGATCCAGTCAAACGTTTAGTTACCATCATTAGTATACATAGATATATAAACAAATCAACAACTGTATTCCACTTATCATTATTAAAATAAATCGAAATAGACGTTTGATCTTTATGTTTAGTTATCGTATATTTTCATGGAAAGAATTATCTTATTCACGCAAGTTTTTTACAGTCTTAAAGGTGTAGTTAGAAAAACCGTATGGTATGAGCTATTTAAACGTTGCTCGACGTTATCTGAACCATCGTTTCTCAGCAGTATTCTAAGTCGCAAAGTATTTACATAAACGAGATCTGTAGACGAAATTCAACAGATTGTTTATAAATACATAGTATTAGTTAGGTTATTAGTAACGATAGCTTAACTTGTACAGATATTTATTTGCGACGGAGTGTTGAGAAACTATGGTGTAAATCTATTACTATTGTGTGGTCTTTTGTTACCTCTGGCGTTTAATCTAATTCCACCTTTAAACGAATTACCATAGCATACCCATTATATGTGTACTTTGAACTCGCCGTAGAATAGGTGTCTGTACTATCGATCGCTACCTCCGCCAGCTTACATTATGGCTTCGGAAAGCGCCAGATCGTATAACTCGACTCCTTGTATTCGTAGCTTCACACGATAACACTGAATAGCGTTATCCTTTATTGAATTAACTCTGTATTGTTAAGATATACAATGTATACTGTATTATACGAAAACATATCACTAAAATCGCACAAATCCAAACGTCGAATACTTAATGATTTTAATACAACATCGTGGTTTATTGATACAGTCAACTTCACATAGATCGCAGCATCAAATATATTTGAAGATTTTTTATTTTGTGTACGAGTATACGCTGTAACAAATTTTCCAATAATCTCTTAACTTAATATCCAATTTCAAAGAAGGTATTAGAATGAGTATCTTTTTTGATTAATCGTTGATGTTCGAAGTAAACAATTATTGTAATTACTCATTCGTTTATATTGTAATGATATGTTTAAAATTAAGATATAGTTGGTAATTTTGTTTCCATGTTATACGGTGTAGTCTATACTGTATGACTACTAATATCTATGTGACGCTGACTGTACGTCTGTACAACCGACTGCATGTATATTTGACGGTTTCAAACCACATTATTACAATCCACTTAATTATAACGCCATATCTGAATGCATACTCGTATTTTCCTCAAGTTCATTTCATAAATAGCCTAGTTGTTGCAGCGTTACTTTACACGTAAACTAATATTCTCGGTTAATCGATAAGTACTGTGGAAATGTGATAAGATATTATACAGCCGGATTAGGTATCAGTGTAAATGAAACATACGACATCTTTTAGCAAGAAATACAACGAAATTTCAGTTTATCATTTTGTCTAATGTTTATATACACGATTAGTCATAATATTAATAAAACTATATAGTGTTATTAGAAACTTAATAAAAACTTTAAAATAATTTCTGACTCAACTATACATAGTGATCACGCAAGTACGCCGTGCATAAAGGTTAAAAACATGTCCACACAAGTTTTTTGTTCATTTTTGTATGTATCATATTAAATTTCGTGTAAAATAGGACTTCGTACGCGTTATTGGAACATATTATTGGGTAGAGAAATTGCAGATGTTTCTTTCATCGTGAATACTTTATTATTATACTTTTTAAAACATTTTGTTGACTGTAAGATCCGTGGTCCTCACTCACATTCACATTTATAACATTACCATTAAACCTATTTTAGTTATTGAACTGTATCCTTTTCAAGATATTATTTTATTTGGAAAGAATGTAACAATACACTTCAATAGCTATAACAGATTTGAAGGTTGTCAATAATTTAAACGCAAAATGTTATCTCGTCTCTTTGTTACATTTTACCTATTAAACGGCTGACAGATCTTATTAAAATTTAATGTGATAGATTGTATCATGAGAACCGAGGAGTCTTTATCTCAAAAAGCAGAGGTATTCGCGGCGATCTGCTGGTTTTTCATAAACAAAAGGATTCAAATATGCTGCTAAAAATTAAATTAATATGTTAGAAAAAAGTAAAATCCGCATATTTTATACGAGTAACGCTTGCATTAAGTGCTCATACTATACGAGTTATACGATTTTGCATTCAGACTGCACTTTACCCCTCTGTGAGCTGTTGATGACGCAAAGCGGGGCGCGGGCCGGGGGGCGGCCACGTCTACGCGCCTTCATTTTGCTGTTTAAACAGTAGCGTTTCCTCGAAGATGTACCTCTTGAGGGTCTCCTTTGGGAGATCGTCCAGTTCCATCGCAAATCTGAACGGCTCCTCTGCCACCGGCTGCAAAAGGTAATAAAGTTGTAATTTTTTGAGGTATTAATTTTTTTAAATCAGTTTCTTCCCAGTTTTTCTAAACTGTACTAGTTAACTGAACGGACGGTATGGATAGATATAAAAAATTTACGCGCATGAGTAGTATTAAATATCCTATTTGAATAATTTGAATTTGATTCAATTTCCGAACCAATTCACCAAACAGATTATAACGATTAGAGGATTCGGCACTTTTCTAAAAGTACTAAATAAGTGAGTAATTAGTATTAATGTTTCTTTCAAGTTCAATAAACTGTCTGACATTTGTCATGCATATGATAAAGCGCTTTACGCTTTAATATTACCTGTTTTATTTATTATTAAATGTTATACAAAAGGAGTGCCCTTTATAATATTGCAGGAAGGATTTAATCGTTATTTTTATAATAAATAAGGGTTACTGCTATATTGTAATCTAGTAGTATTATTATATTTCTATTTAATTTTGAAATCCATACTTATTTTTATAATAAAATCAGTATTGATACCGAAATTAAATTCTACATAACATGGAATCTAAATTATCAGATTTGGTTTTGTATTTGGTATAAAGATATATTACAAAACATATATAGGAAAAAGGATATAATGTCACGGATAAAGTTTAGTATCACCGTATTTTCGAATTCAGCCCTCTAATATTGACCTTAACATACGTCGGCCAGACAGGATTACATATAGAACGATCCAAAGTAACCTGTTTCCATTGTTGGAAGTAATTAACGTGAGTACAAAATTTGATTTGTTCCCTAAAAACAAGATTAGCTTTCTTTTTTTTCTCTGTGATCCTAAATAAATACGACTGTTTATACAGCCTTTTTTTAACATAACACTGACCAATGTAAAAGGAGTCGAATAATTTATACGTTCACATATAAAATCGGCTAAAGGTTTGGCTGTTTTTCCTTTCGGTCGATTTGGTTTCGTACTATGGACCGAATACACTAACAATGTCTATTTTCAAATTGATACATTTTCTTTTTCTTTGTCGCTGTATTTTATGTTTTCATTATTATGTATTTTCAATATTTGAATATCGCTGTGGTTGAATCTAAATGATCGCCGACTTTGTTTTATTTTCACCGAGCTACGTGCCTCAGTATCACCTATTCAGCCGCCAAGCCATTTGCTTTGTAATACGTATTTGTTGAAGGGTGTGATTAGGCAGTGAAGTTACAGGATAAGTAGTGAGACATCTTAGTCCCCTGTATCACGTGATGACGTGATATCGTAGTACTGTCATGTATATTGGCGACAGTTGAATGAAGGACGTCTATCAGGCTGGCCATCAGCTTGTATGTCATTACAATTACGTAAATAAATAAATTAAAAAAAAAATATTGTCAATTTAAGCCAATTTAATAAAAAATAAATTATTTTTTACCAGAATTTTCAACCAGATTCTCTATTTCGTTATTTCCCGCTCCGTTGAGAATTTTCAAATATTTTTTCCAAGTGGTTCTTACTTAATAAAAGAAGCTTATATTGCAAATATTAGCTTTCTGGAGCCAGACGTTTTGGTTGCACTTTAATAATCAGTCAGGACTATCGATATATATACAACATATGACTACCCGAGCACTAAGTGGTGATGATTTTCACATGGTTTTGAATGAGCAAACATGTATACGATATTCATTACTAGACATAGCCATGAATTGTTCTAATTAACTTTTAATTAAAGTGTGAATTCAAGTGTTATGTATATAATATTGTAAAGATTTACCTAATAGAATTTCAAAATAACAAAAGTGTGATAATCTGTATAATAACAAACAAATTGGTGAAAAGTAGACTAGATAAAGATAGGTCATCTATTTGTACAAAATATATAGTTTAGGTAATTGTAAAAAAATAACATAAAATCGTTTATATAAAATACGACTAAATGAACATTTATACTTATTATAAAAAATACTATTTTCTATTAAAATATAGAGTATTTTATATTTAGTAGTGAGCTTTTTAGTTTTAGCTTAATTAATAAATATAAAACAATGCCATTGACAAATTGACAGTGTGTCAACCCTAACAACATTTATGATAAAATTGATAACATTTAATATAACTACTTACACAATCGATTAAAATTCTTGTTTATTTTAAATTAACAATTACTCAGTTCTTAACATAACAAAGTATTTCATGAAAACAGCCGACAAAGAGAAATTACAGACTCCCGTAATGCCACCCCTTCAGCAGTTCACAGTAAGTCTCCCATTAATTCCGTGGTATCTAAAGACAATATTTACGAAATGTACGTAATATCAAATGTTTAATTATTCGTTCAAGAAAAATTAATAATTAATTATTAATTCAGTGAAATCAAAATAAGTCTCTATACACTCATGTAAAAATCGTAACAAAGTCATAATCACTAGTAATACAAATAATATGAAATAATTTCAGTGTTTGTTCGTTTTGTTATAAATGACACAACCGATTTTCATGCACATTTCAATATACATAAATATAGATATAGCGATGTCTTTTATAATATATATATTATTTTGTAATATATTACATATACATAAACCCCGTATTTTCCCCGGAATCACGCGTGAATGGCTGTCAGGAGAAGGTTCTTATAATAGAAAAGTTAAGAAAATTGCGCGGAACATTTTCTTTAATGTTTACCTACAGTGCGCAGAGTCAATGTTCATAATTAAGACGGAACAACGGTCTATCAGTTTATCTAGTTTTTATAATAAATAAGCTTTATTTAGAAAATTTATAAATAGAAAACAATGTTATATTCATCGCAATAAAATTATAAAAATAATTACAATTTAGCAAATATACACGCACTGTGTACTGTTTTTTTTTGTTTTTTAAAACTACCTATTTAACTGGTATATTATATCTGACTTTCATCATCACTCTTATCCTTAAATTATTATATAATAACATGAGTGATTGATGTCCACAAATAAACATTATAAGATAACTTATCTTTCTTAAAGCCAGGCCCCTAGCAAGGAAGGCAAAGATATCTAGTCAAGAGTCTATACAGTTTATTAGTTTCCACTTGATTATTGTTCAATATTGGATAAAAATTACAGTCAAACTAGTGGTTGCCCCGTGCTTGTAATTTGGCCATAATCCTTTTAAATTATAAGTTTGAACCTTATTAATATACGTAGATGTGTGTGTCAATCTGTTGGTAGTGTGTATAATTTTATTAACCTAATATATTACATTTTTTATGTATTCTAAAAAAGGATATAACTTTTTGAAATCTTTCGCAATACATATAAACTTTAATTGTGCAAAAAAGGCGTACAAAGTTTTTGTTTGACTAATTAATATATGTATGTGGTACAACTAGGTGGATTTTTATTATTCCCTTATGCCTATTTGTATTAAGTTGTTATACCTATGTATGTAGATTTACATATTTTTATTTAAATAAGTAAATTATTAGTTCCATAGCCTTTTCCCTATTTTTATATTGTGTATTTTCAGCTGTAGCCAAAGCATAATTGACAATTTTCACGTTTCAGCTAGCTACAAGCTGTAAGTATATGAGTGTTGTAAAATACGTTATAATACAATTTATATAAGAACAAATATTTTAATGGTAACAGTGGAGACAGTAAGGTGACATATAAAGCAAGTTGTATAGTTTTGATTACAGAATACAAAAAATAATCTTTAAATATATTAATATTAAAAGAATTTCTCAACAATAAGTATACCTACTTATTAATATTTATTTATTTATTATTCTATAAAGCGATATTAACGCTGTTTTGTACACTTTCAATAAATCAATAGAACAAAAGAAATACCTCATCGTTCGGGTCATAGTACTGCTCGAGGTAGGGGTGCGCGAGAGCCTCTTCGACGGTGATGCGCTTGTGAGGATTGAAGGTGAGCATGCGGTGCAGCAGGTCGAGGGCACGCGCATCCGCTCCCGGGAACAGCTCCGCCCAAGGTACGCGCGGCTTGAACGGCAGTGACTCCAGGTAGCCGCGAGCCTGCTCAACAAAATGATCAGAATTATATTAACAACGATTATACCTGATAATTGGATCAGACATTACGGTTTCAGAGGAACATTCTCCCCTTACACTTACAACGTGAAATGATATATGTCGAAACAATAAATAAAGTTATATTGAATGAAAATGAAAACTACTGCTCTTAGAAAATTTAGAAAATCGCTAAGGTGGTCGTCTATCATTTGGACAGATTACATTTTTACTATTATTACATTTTTAGTAATATTGAAAGGTTATTATTTGTAAAACAATTACTAAGATATTTATAACGACAAAGCAATCTGAATTTAGTTGATCGAGAACACGAGACCCTACGCAAACATCCAATGTAATTGATACCCACAGATTTCAATTAATCATAATTAAAGTGTCACCCGTCTCTTATTGATGTCCATACTCTACTGATACATATATTTATGTACATATAGTATGGAAGAGTTTATCATGAGTAGCTTCGAACACGGTCAAACAATGTGATTTCAACATCATGTTTGATGAAATCATTTTACGCAGGCTGAAGGTTTGAGATCAACTACCACAGCTAAGTTTTGTGCCTTATTTCTTTTATATAAAATCATAGTACACAGATTCATAAATGGCAAATGGCTTGGGTGGAAAGAGGATTGTTAGTAATGTGGAATAGCCCCATTGCTATCAATGTACCATGTGAGATTGACCTACACGGGTTTCCACCTGGAACCATTGTAGTAAATTGCCAAGACGGACAATTGACCTGACTTCGAGCTCATTTTATTATGCTTCGCTGTTCCCCTGCCAACGTCAACCGTTAACGCAGTCGGGTGCATCATTCTATCTATCATTTATAAAAAATGGAGCATCGTTGTAAATTGCAGTGTATTTTTATTTAGGAAACTGCAATGGCTAATAATCTAATGACCCAAGAACCGTGCTTTATAAAACTGGCGAACCGTTCCGGCTTTGTACGGATGCATTACAAATCTTTGAATTTCTCGCCTTGTTCTATATATATACTATACCACGCATGTATTATTCATATAAACCTTCCTCTGGAATCACTATCTGTAGCTGAAAACTTTATTAAAATACGTTGAGTAATTTAAAAGATATTAGCGAACATTCCTCGGTGTCGACTTTGTTTTATACTACATATGTAAAGATCATATATGATCATTTACATATTGTGTAAGCCAGTACAAGTTGCTTGAATATTGTCGAATATAGACGTTACCAGTCTTCGACAAAACCCTCATAAATCTCTCGCTCGCTATGTCATATCATAAGTCGGTTATGTATGAAGGTTATCTGTCAAGTGAAACCGACAAGGTACTCCTAGTTGGATATTATACAGTATTTGAAAAATGGGTAACGATGTATATCCGTATTACGAATTTTTATAATTGACGGCCTCGGTGGTCTAGCGGTTTACACCACCTTACCTCTGATGGTCGCGGATTCGATAGCTCGCAAGGTATAACTTTTTGTATTCATGAATATTGTTGTTTGTATCTTTTTAGGTGTTTTCTAGGATATACTTATTTATATCAGTTGTCTAATACTCAAAACACAATATCTGATTAACTTGAAACTAAATGGCGCTGTGTGAATTTTCCTGAGATATTATTATTATTTGCGTATTTCCATGTAACTTTTTCTATGTTCAGTACGAACAGCTAATTTTCGCTCCCTTTTACACAGAAATTAATATGCCAAGAAAAAATCTTAAATTTAACAAATAACGTAAAAATACAGTCAGGGCCCTAATCTTTTTGACAGTGGGTTGAAAAACTGATTAAATATGCAATAAGCTTGCTTATTAATCTTAAGTTAGTGAATGTTTGTAGGTTTATGTAAATAAGTATTACTTCAACTTCAACTTTCAACTTCAAAGGCAAAATAGAAAACAGCTGTCACTTAAAATCAAATTAATATTAACTAGTACTTAGTTATTTTAAATTAGTTTCTTTCAATGTAGCAATACATAATGTAATATCATAATATTTCATGTAGGACACTGAATAAATTATATATACCTACTTAATTATAGTTAAGTAAATTTTTACTCCATAAAATACCACTGGTATTCTATTATACGTAAAGTAGAGCATTGTAACCTCGTTTCTAATAAAAATGCTAATATTAGGAGCGTCTATTGCCCTGGAGGCTTCTTGCCCTCGGGGAAAGAGGAGGGTGGAAATATTTTTTAGTTTCGACGACCTGTTTATTATCATAACAACCAATTCCAAGTAGCGACTGAAAAATCTATTTTTTCGATACATTTTTGTATGTGTACGTATATTGATACATTTTTGTTTTTTATTTGCTATAATCGAGTTCATATCTCTCTATACCTATATCTTTTTTGTTTGTAAACCGAAAGCAGTAAAATTGAAGTTACTACAGTACATTAGTTGAGACCACATTAAAATTGGTTAAACAATTTCCGAGATTAGCGCGTACAAACGCACAGATAAAAAATAAAAAAAATATATTTTGGGTTCTATTACTTTGATAAAGCCTTCAATAATATTTTTGGTATATATCTTTCATGTACAGACAGCAATCAGTTAGAATTTTATGACATGTATAGATTGAGTGACTTAGCAATTTAAGTATAAAGTGAAAATTACTTAAGTGTGTTGTTTACATTAGTAAGTGATGATTATTTTTAATTAAGGCTCAACATTTTCATAATATTTTGTCACCCCGTCACACTTATTATAGCGGGCCACATTTGATACACTCAATCGCTGTTGTGCTGTTACATAATTTACAAACATATTAATTAAAACTTGTAATTGTACTGATACGAGTTGTAAATTTTTTTTTAGATTGTCGATAATTATTTAAATTTCCGCTTCAATTGATAGGCTCTCCTTCACTGGTATGACGATATTTTAAAATATAAAATAAACATTATAATCACAGAAATACGAATTGGATACTTTTTTAAGTTATTCGTTAATTATTAAAATTTCTGTTCCGCTAGAGCATCGAGGGAGTGTATATCAATTAATGATATACACTCCCTCGATGCTCTGGCATCCATTTTCAAAATTAAATAATTAAATCTTGTAATCATATTGTTACGAGTTGGGAATATTTTTATCGTTTTTTGTTAACTATTGAGACTTCCTTTATAATTCTGAATTACAAATTTTGGAAAATGACGACATGAAAATTGTTGTATGCTGTTATAGATTAATAAAAAACAATTAACACGGTTTTACGAAAAACATTAAGACAGTAATCTACAGAAATTAATAACAAATTAAAATCACGAGATGCAGTTTTCTTTCTGATTTCTGATTCAGATTCTGATATAAACTTGTTGTAAATGCAAAGAGGTTGGTATCCTACAAACTTACATTCCTCACACTCTCTGTCACACAATATCACACTTCGTGGACCCTCTTTCCACCCCTCAACGTGTGACGTAATTGATGGATCGGCTACCTACTTTTTAGTTTCAGGTCTCAAGAAGTTGAACAAAAACAGGTCTTATTTATACACAACAAAAGCGCATTAATTTTCGCAAATTCTGCAGAATCATAAAATTTATCACTCTCAAATCAAAAACTCTACTGCAGTCCACCCATTACCTACATGAGAGTTTCTATTATCCCATGGTTAGGTATAAACACTACTTTGTTTGGACGTCGAGATGACAACGAATTTGGATAGTTCTTATTGCTGCCATTCTTTAACATGGACAAATGTAACCACTGGACATAAATTTCGTAGCATGGCAGAATAAGACCTTTTCGGGTCTAATAAAAAAAACATAACCATAGACAATATAGTACACAGTAACCCTTATGGATTCCTCATGGGAAATATGGCCAGTGTAATTAATGTGTACTCTGACTCATACACAAACACGCATACTGTGTGCGACAAGCTAGTATTTGTCAGCTTACTTCAAAATGTAGAACATAAAGGGGTTATATGAGGTGCTTTTTACTTTTAATGCACATTTTCCATTAAAAACAGGATTTCATTGGAAAATATAGCAACATTGACCGCTCTATTGTGTAAATATATTGCGTATTGCTTTAATATATTACATATATCTATGCTATAGAGAAACCATATCCTTTGGATAGCTCTGTGAGCGGGACAGACTCGCTTTTAAATACTCAAAATAAAAATAAAATCAGCTTTTTATTTCGCAATAGAGTTGGTCGGTCCATACATGTTATGACTAGAGTAAGCTTTCTTTGAATCAAAATATTAAATTAATATTTGTTCGCTAGGATTGGAAATAGTTTGTAGTTGTTTACGAAACGAAATTATTAAATTGTACAAAAATATAAATAATATATATAATATATTAAAATTATTTTTCCGTCAACGATAAATTCTGAACTTTTCGGCAAAATGCGGTTTATAATAAGTGTTCATGAATAAAACACGGCACGGGTAGCTGGTTTCGACGAAACTTGTAGCGAACTTTCCATTCGATAACGACGCTGTTGTATTTAGGTTACATTTAATATATATATATTTTTAATAATGTACATGATTTTAATGAAACGATATGTCTGTAAATTGTCGATCGTCCTTCATAGCCATATAACATACATTTTTTAAAAAGTAGCTTACGTCTGCTTATTGTCGCAAGTCACTGTCTGCTGTCGACACATACTCGATGTTTATTTATGATAATAAACTATTTTTTAATTATAGTATTTGAATTTATGACTTGGTTACTGTTATTTCGTCAAAAGTGGTAACTGTAGTATACACTAAGCCAATACTTACTAATATTATTAATGCGAAAGTACTCTGTCTGTCTGTCTCGCTTTCACGCCAAAACTACTGAACCGATTTAAAAGAAATTTGGTACACAGATAGTCTAGGCCCTGAGATGAGATGGTTGTAAGGGGTTGAAAGGGGAGATGAAGGGTAGTAAGAACGTATCTTAAAGTAAGAAGTTTAAGACTTATTGTTAAACTTATAAGTCGTTGATTAAATATAAATAAATATGACATTCATAGTTTGTGAAAATGTTACCCTTAAGGGTGTAAAATAAATTTGTTATTTTTGAAGATAGAACGATGATGTATCCTTTTCCTTTTGGGGTTTGATTATTGAATATTTTTTATTTGTTAAGGTCACGATAATACAGCTAGTATATATATAATATATAGTGAATATTTATTTCTAATAATTAAAAATTATTCGAAAAAATCTGAATTGCGTATACAGGCATTACGTCCTGTTGTCCTAAGGTATTTAAAATGTTAACTACGCAAAATATTAGATTATTTTTGACATCGATTGTAAAATAAACAATGGACCCTTGCAAAAAGAGGCCATTGTTTACTTTACAATCAAACAGGGGAATATAGGGTTTTTTGGGGAGGCAGGGATTAGCCGAATTACCCGCTCGAAACACGAAACTGTCACACGGGGGAAACCCTCGACCTTGCGGCGCTTTCACATTACACCGACATCTACCGTGTGAAAACCCTTAAGCACGTCGACCACAGCCATAATACACTGTTTTTGTGACCTTTATTCCATGAGGTGAGGCAGATTCTATTCGCTTTTAAGACACGTGCCCTTGTGTAGATATGGAATAAAATAAATGTCAATGTGTGATATATCACACACTGACATTTATTGACACGTGTAAATTTTTAGTCTAAAATGCCTTTGACTACATTTCGTTTCGGAGTAAAGTTATATTAAAAAAGTTTAAAGAATTGACAGTTGGTATCCTTTGGGTTTAATAGATAGATTGATAAATTGTCAATTCCTTGCATGCAAACCATAGTTTGGTGTCAAATTCGTCTGTCTTACCTATTTCAGCTAGAAAGCAGCATGCTTTGTAAAATGTGTGTCAGTTGAGGGTGACTTATCGCAGTAAAATTAAGGATAATAAGGATAACGATGCATTACATCCTACTGTTTTAGAAAGGCAACGCATGATTGAAACGTGATGTCCGTTTATGTATATAGGCGAAGGCTTCCACTTATCATATTACAGCTTGTTTGCATACTCGTTACATTGAAAAAATAGTTGGTATAATACTAAAATAATTCTTCAAAATTGGAAAATGGATTCTCTTATCTATATCACAGATATAACTTCAGTAGATCAGAAGATCGGTACGCGTACGTGCCGATACTGTTATTGCAATGATTACATCGTTCCAATAAAATTTCATACAATAAATTTAAAATATCATTTCGAACAATCGTAATAAATCATCATTCAAATAATTACTTTACGTTTAATTAAGATAAGATAATCACTATCTATTGCTATTTAGTTTAGTAAATCCAATGCACAATTTATTCTTATCATATGCATAAAATAATTGACTTGTATATGATTTTTTAGATACCTTTTGTTAACTTATGTGGACACTATAGACTATTAATCGGTTACGTTCATGATGCCTTCATGCTTGTATATACTGTGGTATGAACGGTAATTTATAGGACGTTAAAGCCAATTGATGAAATGTCAATAACTTTCTGTAAACTTGTAATTTTTATAGCACGATGGGAAAGTCTCCTAAGTACAATAACAGTCAATAATTAAAGGATAGTATTCGCTTCACCACGTACAAAGATTTCACAACTATTTGTCAAAGAAGTACTTTCTGTATTTCTTGTGTTTAATACTACCAAATAATATTAACCGATTTTACGTCATAGTGACGTTACGGCCTAATCATTCAGTTTAACTTTAGATATTGTTCTTAGAATAATTTCACTTAGTTTCTCAAAACATTTTTTATTTTTAATTAAAATTAAAATTTGCATGATGTGACACATATATTTAATTATCAAATTTTAAACTGGACATACATAAATATTAAATGTCGTTAGGAAATTGAAAAGAAAAATAAAGTCGTCAACACTGTGAATTATTTGAACAAGTGCAGACTAAACGAATAAAAGATATGACAAAACATATAATGCATTTCACATTGTATCTTTTAAATGGAGCATAAAATATACATACCTTCTCGTTGATGATGCAATCAAGATCCTCGGGGCTGGGCGAGCCGAGTACGCCGAGAATGTGATTAAGCTGATCCAGGTAATGCTTCCCGGGGAATATCGGTCGGTTAGACAGCATCTCGGCGAGGATGCAACCCACTGACCATATGTCTATTGACTTAGTGTAACCCTGTACCAAAAAATATTACCATTAAGTTCAATAATTAACTATATCACTTGTGGCTAGACCAGGCTCCCTCGTAATTAATGTTCGTTCGTAGATAAAGGTTATAGTACCGGGGAAGGGGATTTTTATTTACTAAATTTAGGCTTCTACTATTTTAGTAATGAGGAGATTACTAAAAAGTGCTATTTGGTAGCAATTTCGACCTCCAGCATGGAGTCTCGTCCTTGTCGGAAATACCATTGCATTATATAATATCATGAGTGCCTGTAATAGACCTACATCAATAAAGATATTTAAATATCAATACATCCAGACGCAATACACGCGTGCGTTGTGTACGATATTATTATAGTTCAGTTGAACGTTATTGTCTGCCGCCATGCCTGTCACGTCGGACAAGGAAGGAAACCGAGCTTTGTACCATTGTTTAAATATGGAAGTGTCTATTGAAATCATCATATTATTATACCTAAATGTTAGTACGCACTAAAATTGTTTTATATTTAAAGTAAAAATTGCAAACCTATCTAATACTAAACTTTATGTGGATAAGTAAAATTAGGTGAAAGTAGTGGTACTTTGTCTTAATTATCGATATGAAAGCCTATACCCGTCCTTGAAAATAAATAGAATATACTCTATTTGTAACATAAAATAAAGAATACATGTTAAAGAACACATATACATACAATAAAGAAATTACATATATTAAACTCTTAATATAATCTTGAAATATTTGGCCAAAATACATTAAGGCTAGTTCAGCCGTTTAATTGCGAAAAGGTAATAAATAGATAGACAGAGACACTTTGGTTTGTATAATATTTGAATGCATAAACCACATCCGTCCAAAGATGTATAATAATACTACTAGGTATTATTATACATATTTCGTTAATCTATTCTATATCGATGTACAAAAATATATAGATTTATGATAGAAATTTGGAGTCATGATACCAGAATATCGTACCTAACATTTAAGCTGAATTTAGATAATGTAAGATTTGTAAGTACATAATGGTTATATTTACAAACAATGATATATAATAATAATATATTGTATTATAAAGTAGGTAAACAGAAAATATTTATAAATCATCAAAATAATATTGCTTGTTTTGTTTCCCTGAGGAAATAATACATGGGCGACGCAGGAGCGATTCAGGAAAGAAATTTCGAAATATAATATTTATACTCGCAACCGACTACCAAAAATAAGAATGTTTATACAACGGCATTTTTTACGCATGTTGCTTCGAATTAAGCTGAACATATTTTGAAATTCGTTATTCCAATCTATTACTTATTTTGACCGTATAAATAATGTATATCAATATCGGTGTTTGTTTTATGTGGAGTAAATATCAAAGTAAATATCAGTTATATTTGCATGCGCCAATTCTATGCAAACTCAGTAAATTCAGCTCTACAATTTTACAACTGTAGGTTATCACAGACTACGTAACCTGCGTGTTTAAGTATGATTCACACCTGACAAACAGACACCTCATACTTATATACTTTATTACACTTGTATCATTAAATAATAAAGATATGGAAATGTGAGCAAGGGGATAAGCCCATCCCTGAAGGAATTCTCTTTCAGTCAACCTAACGCTGTGACAGAGGCGGTAGTTAGCGGGCAAGGGCAGTGCACGAGTTTTGTAAAATACAATACAACTATACAAAGACAAAGCGTTTTAGCACAACGACTTAGTTCTTTTTCTTTTTTTTTATAAGTGATAATGAAATAATAATCACCTATTAAAAAACATAACAAATTTTACGTAACTAGAATAGCAAACAAGTTGACCGCAATGAATGAACATGATAATGACAATCGTGATATTTCTTTACGTTGTCATTCCAAAAGTTATTAGCTTCTGTATCCTATAATTTCACTACCATCTCTCACAAAAGTGCTTTGTACAAAGTACACTGTTTTTTTATGGATCATAATGGAACGATGCACTCGCCTGCGTTATCGGTTTACGCTGGCGGTGGAAACCACTGGAGAATTACACCAGTGGAGAATTACAAAATGAGCATGAAGTCAGGTCAGTTAGACCATCTGGACAAAGTCTCCAAGTATTTGTCATATTGGTTTCCAGTTGGAATAGCGTGGAGGTCAACCTGACAATGTACATTGCTAGGAAAAAAACCGACCTTAGAGTTGAGCATGATTTCCGGTGCGCGGTACCAGCGCGTCGCCACGTACTCCGTCAAGAAGCCAGTGTGGTCGTGATCAGGGTCTGCAACTCGCGCCAGCCCGAAGTCACATATCTACATTGGGACAACATAAGAGTTTTATCATATAATACATTATAGTACATTTTCAATAGAGTAATAAGTATTTTTATAGCATAGGGGTAAGCGAGCTTGCGACAACTCTGATGGTAAGTGATTACCGCTGCCAATAACGACCGGTAAGTTGCCGGCTTTTCATGGAGAAATAATCTCTTTACAACTTGTTTTATATCTTGGTACTATATAAAATTGGACCTGACTTCGCTACACACGAGGCTATCTAGGAAGCCATCCAGGGCGCTCCACACCGCCTCTGATTTTAGAAACAGCCTACACCTTTTCACAAGATTATAATAGAACGGTGTTCACAAGCATATGGTATCAAACATATACCTACGATATACTGACTCTATTTACAACATTGCACACTTAAGAGGGAGTGGACCGCCTTTAACAAGATACTATTAAGCTCTATTCACACGATCTCGAAACTGTATTGGAACTACTCGTCACGGACGGGAAGGAAATCTTTGTGTATTTTCTGATGAACTTGATCGTGTTCCTTAGGGCCTAGACTTTTGGGACATACATTGAACTCTACAATAAGCAAATAGTGCACTTGCGTGTTATACTAAATTCATTCCACATTTTGTTACGTATATACGGATTTTCTGTCTTACAATCTGAATTTTCATATATAAAATTGAACAAATAAACTGATATTTTCAACTTTTCAGTTAACTTTTTTTTATAGTAAATAAGGATAAAACATGTACACACTAAAACATCTAAAGGATCCGGTAACGATTTTACTGATATGTATATATTATTCATATGGGTAATAGATAGCACTTACTGTACTCGTACTTGGGTATTTCGCACTGAATCCGGACGTCCTGGATGGAATTTGAAAGTCCCGAAACCGTGTACATCGCGCTTTATACAGTACAGTGACGTCGGCGGGTATGACGGATTGTGTAGACCCGAAAACATGTACGGTTCATGTAATTCGTTCATACATTATCGACCGAGAACGACCCAGCTACCGAACCGTAAAGATTTCGTTCAGGGTCTTGTGAGGTACAAACCCTGAACGAAATCTTTACCCTCCCACTTTCAAGTAATTACATGCTTTTTCAAATATTTCTTTTAATTATGGATACAGAATAATTTAGAAAATTGTTCCCCAGAAAACATTTGCTATCACGGCGTAATCATTATCAATCAGAAAGAGAATACATACTGAGAGACATCAAGGGAGAATACTCGGGGGACGAATTCCATCCTAATCATGTCACTCTCGCTGTCGAGGTCGGAATTTTCCAAGACAATTAATTTTAAGTTGGTTTCGAGGAAGATATAAAGAAACATTCCTACTTCTAAAGTTACGACCTAAGGGAATCGTATTACGTCGTAGATGGCCGATACTGAAACCCTGAAGTCTAGGTTTATACATTATTAATTCACTTACGCGTACTATTTTCATTTGAATATATTTTATTTCATTTGAAAAATCAACATAGAACTTAAACTAATTATAGAAGCCCAATTTCGTACTAATTCAGTGTTATTTTAAAAGTAGATATTTCTGTTCCGAGCTATTTTAATGAAGATACTACGATCAAAAATACTAAGACAAAACAAAGGATCATTTGCTAGATTTCCCGTAACAAGATAATGTAAATGTTGGCGACTCTATTTAACCAATTTTATTATTATTACAATATTTAGTAATATAATTATTAAAACCTACCCAATGTTTTTGTACTCGTATACAAAATACAAAATTTATCGCTAATAGAATCTATGAAATCATGGATTCAGATTAATATTAGGAAGTTCTTACATAGGTATACTGTATTCTATACAAAAATTCAAGAAGTAGTGATAGAAGCATTCGCTTGCCGAATTTTAAATATCACGCCTAAATACACCAATAAACATTGTTCCATTTATCCGACCTATGTTTGAATTATGTGAGAGAATATCGAATCATGCCAATAGATAAAATAAAAATCCATTTGCATTTATTTGATGACAACGTCACATTAGGCGCTCTGCTACCTTTTTTGTTTGTATCCATTCATTTAATTTTGTTTTTCGTGTCGCTGAACAAAATAAATTAAAACAATCAAACGGGAATTAAGAGCAGGCGTGTGTGTACTTTGTTTATCAGAGTCCACTGTGGATTAACTGATCTATGTAGAGTTTACCGTACATGCAATCAATTTAACTCGTACACCCCACTATGTGCGATACGTGTAAATATTTTACAAAGTTTTTGTTCAGTATGCGAGTACGACTCTAGAAGGGTTTTAAATACAAATCTTTTTCAATAAAAATTAAAACGAATATGTATATCGTCGTATCATTTTTGTCGTTCGCAAGATTATACATATACGCTATATCAAGTTAAGTATTATATAATATTAAAACAAATATTTCAGGACAATTCACACAGCGCCATCTAGTCCCAAGCTAAGTAGAGATTGTGTTATGGGTACTAAACAACTGATATAAATAAATAGATACTTTGTTTTGTAAATGCATGCATAAGAAACATATAGAAAACACCCAGACCGATTCAAACAATCATACTTATGAATACAAAATGTTTGAGCCGTGCGAGGAATCGAAAACACAACCTTCGTATGTAAAACGGTGTGCTAAACCGCTAGACCACCGAGGCCGTCAATATATACATCTAGGCATACTACCATTACTACTTATTAATATTTAGATTTGTTTTTTTTTTCTCTGAAAATACAGTAAGAAATCATAACCTCCACTTGTATATCGCGACATACGTATGTGTGTAGCTACAATTCTGAGAACTGATTAAATAATGAAAGATCCTTCCTTTATAAATAAATAAAAGAAACAAGAAATGAATTAATTTATTATATTTCGTCCGTATGAGAAAAAAAGGCGTCCGGGATACACATCACATATTATAATATAATAATCATTATAAAAACTGATTTATCGACCCACGGCTAGACACCGAGCTCTCTGTATTTATACATATATATACAATGGAAGTTATTATTAGGAAAGGTTTAGTCTACTATTACGGTATACTAATTAACCGGTTCAGTGAAGATATGACGTAATTACCATGCAATTATCAGTAGTAAAATAATTGTTAATTATAATAATAAATAGTGTTTGTAACGCCGCCTATATAGGGCACACCTAAATTAATTAGTTAATGTTTTAAAATTAATATTATACTCAAAAGGCTGTTCACTCTAGTTATTTTTACGTAGCACACAAACACAGTTTTCGCCTCATCTATATTCAAATATTTTATTATATGTAAAGAAATGTTAATAAATATAAATAACTTTGAATGTTAAGGCAAATTATTTAGCTCAAACGATGTTATTCCTAACAAGAAACATAGCATAACAAGAACTGAACGTAGTACTTGTTAATTAGTCAATGTTCGAAAATTTGACATTATAATCTAATAACACTGTGGGTGTCTTAATAATATTATTAAAATAATGTAAAAGCAATGCTATACATTCAATGCTAACATTGCTACACTTCGTATAATTCGTTGATGGAAAACGCATTAATAATGCCAGCTATTACAATCATTTCAAAAGAGTACTGGCTATAAGCCGCTTTGCCTGCGAGAATCACGGTTATGATCCATCAGGGTATGAAATTAAACAAATATTGAAATATTTTCAGAGAAATTCATACTTATAATATTAATTAAATATTTGTAATACCTATGGAAAAAAACACAATTTGTTTTATTTAATGGCTGACAGAAAATGTATCTAATATTATTTTGACATTTCCGATCGATCGGACTTGGATTGGACGGGGGTCCAATGCAAACAAGTATCGAAATTACGACGGCCTGAGCAGAGATTCGAACACCTAGTGGTGCCCTCAAACTACAGTCGTATCCGTCAGGCGTGAGTTGGTCTTTAGTCGCTCCATAAGTCCTTCCACTGATTTGGAGTGCCATTTGCACTCGCACCATATCGTCGTAGTGAAACTGTAAAGGCCAGCTGCGACCAACAGCATTAGAGTAGTCCGAAAAAAACTAAGGGACCGGACTCAGGATCCAATCACTGGATTTAAGTAGTTTAATAGTAGTTAAATTAAACCAACTAGTTTACATTAAACCAATCACTAGATTGAACTACACCAATCGAAAGTATTAAAATCAGAACGGCATTATATCCCAAGAAAGATCAGAGGCTATTAGACTACAGAAATATAAAAATTTCAATCGAGAAGAAGGTTTTAGGCTGTCTAATCCCTGGAATCCAGTGATTGGTTTAATTAAACAAACACAAAAAACGCGATCAGAAAGTGTATTAAATGGACGTGAAGATACTGCGAGTATAATTTGCCGATATCGAGCGAATTCCAATATTAGCAATAAACGAAGTCGTGTGAAGGTAGAGGCATATGTTTGTCCATAAAAAAAAATTTACCATCGGTTGAAACTCTGCCGAAATATCTCAATAAAAATAAAACGTGGTAAGATCCCGTGGCTTACTAATTATACGTATAAATTGAATTTAATTGCAAAGAGTCATAATGTTCTCATCTTCGGCCTTATTTTTAGTACTCACCTTTAAATCACATGTGGTGTTGAGCAGAAGATTTGAGGGTTTAAGATCCCTGTGCAACACGTTCGCCGAGTGGATGTACTTGAGCCCTCGCAGGATTTGATACAGGAAGTAACAAATATGATCGTTACTTAATTTCTGTAACAAAATATCATTGTTAACGGTCTTTTAAATACATCACTTTCTAAATTATCTACTTCAATAATACAGGCTGTTCATTTTGCTATAAATAATAACGTATAAACAACGACAGATAAAGCTGATATTTTTAACTGAATACTTTAATGCAGGTTTCTTTATTGTTGTCTTTTCTTAGACGTTTTTCTTTTCTTAATACTCTTAACTTTACAACTACACGTTTTTTACACATTATATTACAATACATATTTTTTTACCTATTTTCGTACTAATTTATATATCACTAATTATATTATATAATATTATATTGATAGTTTTTCACTATCAATATACTATTGGTACTTAAATCTGTAACTCCAACTTCAAGTTCCTTTGCTTTCTATTGGTATTGTTCAGATATCTTTAAATAGTACATCCACCCTCGATGACAGAGCTGAAAATCTGTATTTTACTCCTTGATTGATTCTCCACGCTGAGCTTTGAGCCATCTTAATTTTTTTTTGTTCCAAATATTCAGTTATTAGTACACCTACTACTTAAAATTGGACCTACATGTGTATTAAGATACAAATAAAAATACAGACATATCTACAGACATATCATATTACATATTTTTACCTTTAATAATAGTAAAAATAGTAATAATACCAACACTTAATTTAAAATACGAGCCATTTTTATTATTTGTACGAAATGTTTTTTGTGTGGTGCCGTCAATATCTGTCTGATACAGGCCTATGACTAACATTGCAGACTTGAAATGACACCAGACAGTGCAATTGTTTGCAATATTTTTGTAGAGTATCACTTCAAAATAAATTGGAGTACATTTTGCAATCAATATATAGAGAGAATAAATATTTATGAACTCACACATTTCAACTTAAAAATATAAGGTTACATAGATAGAATAGAATAGAAAGTTTTTTATTCAAATAAACTTCAATTAAGCAATTTTGAATAGTTGTACTTCTTATTCTTAATATACAGCTAATTCGGAAAGCTGTGTGTGTGTGTATTGTACATAAATTTTCAGATCGTTCTTTTTAAGACAGCAAAGAATTTTCTGTTCTATTTTGTCTAAATTATATAAAAGAATTTGTTTATTTCTATTTTTGGGTGTGTCAACTGTACAGCAAAGATGACTGATTATAATAAACATTTAAATAGCTATCTCAGTATTACATGAGTAAAAAAATTGAATAAAAAATCAGAAACATTTATCAAAAGTTCACAATTACCTGTGTTTTTAATAGTTTGTAGAGGTCCGTTTCCATTAAGCATTGTACGATGTAGACATCTTTCATTTGGTCAATACTGTCCGCTCTTAATATATCCCGAATGTCGATTATCTGAAACGAAAATTTAATTCGTAATATTTGTAGTAAGTTTCTTTATGCAACCGGATTAGCAAACACGTTGATTCCTAGTGGTGACGATTGTTGCTATCTATACACATGAACAAACCCGTTATATGAAGCCAGTAGCACGTCTGCATTGCTACTCCAGAGAACTAAGTCATGCCTCCATACTTTGTAATTTAGTATCAGGAAGGCAGTAGTAATTTATTATATTGTTTTCTGTTACGCTTTATTTAACGATTTGAACTAATACTGGCGTTTCTTACCAGATGGTACTCTTCGGGAAACTTCAAATTCAATGCGTAACCGTTCAATATTGACTCATTAATTATGATTTGTAGTATAATTAAACATTTATATAAAATTATGAATTCGATTCGGCGTTAAGCTCGCCCTTTGTACAAGTTTCATTTATTTTACTTTATATTAAATTTTATATGAAAAAATATATATATTGCTTGACGATTGCCAAGTAGGTATTCCGAGTTCCAAAAATAAAAAAAAATACACAACCGAAATAAAGTGCTCCATGAAGAAACAAATTAACGTATATACTCCATATATTATGACATTTGGACCCCTGAATTTACATATTAACTGATAACTCTGAATACGCTTTCCAAGAAATGTTAAGCTTGCAATTAGTGTTACCCACGCAGGTCTTGATAAAGACCAAAGCACCGCAACTACTTTTTTTTTATTTAGTGATATCCATACACAAGTGCATATATGAGACATAGTGAAGTAGTGTCATGTGATATAAACAAATATAGGAGTATTTATGACTGCGAGTCTAGTGATTATAAAAGAAACCCTACCGTCTCCTGTTTTGTTATATACCAGGTATTACAATGAAATTTCCCGCCTAGTTTTTCATAGAAAGTGTTTTTTAATACTACTACTGGTGGCAAACAAGCATAGAGACCGTTTATTGGTAAACGGTTACCGTAGCCCATGGACGCCTGAAACACCAGGGGTGTTATGTCTTAGAGACTCTTTAGAAACCTTAATACAAGAAGGGTTTCTTGAAAAATACCATGCTGTTGTCTCTCAAGAAAACCTCGGTAGGCAATTCATTCCGCAGTATAAGTGTACACGGGATAGCTCCTATGAAACCGCATTGTCCTAGACCACTTAGGTTCGAGCGTGTGGGCATAAATTCCCTGTCGATGTGGACCTGTACGATGGTTAAAGGTAGTCGAAGTTTGCAAGTAGAACAATTCTACAGAATACAGTCCGTTGTGTATTTGGTAGAACACACATCGACAAATTTGCCGAGAATTGTTCTGTTGCCTGTATGCTCCGTGCTCTACAGTTTCACTGTCATATCTCGCTGTTCAAACCTGAACATACTTTACGAAACAAGGTACTAGCGGCAAAATTAGATGAGGAAAAATTTATAAATGCAAAGTGCGTTTGCCTGTTTATTACATTTCCTCAACTAAACGACGGAACGGATAATGAAAGATGTGAAGATAGATTGTATTACGTGGACGAACATAAGTAATAGTTAAAATTACATTGAAGTGTCTGTTTATAATTTAAAATTAACAGCTTTTCACTAAATATATATGAAAGTATATGACAATTACATCAATTTTTGTCTGTTTGTTCTTGCTAATCTCTGAAACGGGTTTGCTGGTACTTTCACTCACAGATAGTTAAAGTTATAAGGAGTAACTTACGCTTTAGAATATACATAGATTTATTTTAATAAAAGCAGTTAAATACGACGAAGTCGCAGGTAACAATAAATAAACTTACATTTTCGTGTTTAAACCGTGTGAGGATTTTGATTTCCCTTAGCGTCCGTTGACAGTACGTCTGGTGCTCGAACGGCGATATCTTCTTAATAGCAACTTTGGCCTTCTTAATGTTGTCAATGGCGGACCTGAAATAATTACAACTATAAATCATTTGATCAGACGTGTATTGTATCTAACCACCCCTGAGGGTTGTGCGTCATCCGAACATAATTCAATATCGGCCGCAGCCGTGAATAACAACAATGCGTCCCTAACTGATGTTGGGCAAATCCAAGTTTTGGACACGTACCCAAATCAAAGAGATGCTTATGTACAAATACACAATACTATAGATCTAGTTGATAAAGTCATAGGATTAAGATTTTTTATAGTACCTAGTATACTAGAGCAACTTCGTTTGTGTTCCCCATTTTTGCAACATTTTTCATTGCAGCCCCTCCTATTAGTTATAGTATGGTGTTATTAAGCTTATAACACACATAAATAACGTGCTTTTTTTTGGTAAAAGAATTTTCAAAATCGGTTTAGTAGAACCCAAGATTATCCGTCATAACCTCACAAACTAAAACCTCTTTGTAATATTAGTATAGATTACTATAGATATGCATTGAGTTTAAAATAACCGTTTGATTGATAGAGAGGATACCACTGTACGATGGATGAAGTGGGGTTTTAGTAATGGGGACTGGTGAGGCTTTGGCTACCTATGTACCGTGTCTCCTCGGTCTTCTCTGGGTACATGGTGAATTCGTCGTGTTCGGCTAACTGACCAGATATCAGAACCACCTTGTCATTCTCAGCGGGAGTGCAGGCGGGTGAATAATTTAATTATAATGTGTTAAAAAATAAATGAAAAGACACTACTTTTTGTTAGATAATCTTGTAAATCAATTACCTTAAGTGCACACTAATTTAGTATAAGCTAAAAAATTCTTCAACTACGTTGGATATGAACGTGGATGAAATTATCACAAACGTCACGAAAAGGATCTTACGGCAACGAAGCCGCTATCAAAACAATAATCCCAAAACGAACCTCCGTTAGTACCGACTAATGCGTTCCAGATTAAACAACGTTGAGAGATCTTAAAAGGACTCGGATAATGTGCAGATTAGTGACGGTCGCAGCTTCAGTAGGCATTACAATTTGCCCGTGAAATTCTAGAAACAAACGATAATCCTAATAATGTTGTTAATCCCACGAAGGCAAATAGAAATGTTAAATAACGCTCCCAATTCCCAATACAGAAGGATTATTTACTACATTATCGAGTTATTTGTAGATTTATTGTGTAATAAAACTAGGATTGTTATAGAAATATATAAAGTACATATGTACGTATTTACTTCAATTATCTACATAGGTATTTACATAAAATATTCAGTCAATCCAAGTTTGTTTAACCACGTGGAGTTAGGTTGATGTCCAGCAGTGAGGTCTATTGTGTTGATTACTTATAATATAATGTACATCAGGTCAAATTCATCTCCATACCAACCCTGGAAACCATTGTTGTTCCAGGGGAAATTACCGTACCACGATAGACTAAGTAACTAATTTAATCATTATTATATAACGTTAGGACTGTTGAGGACACGACCAAGATGGGGTACTCGAAGGCATAGTCAACTGTTGATGTTCGTACGTTCTATATATTTTGAGTCTAACGACTATCGCCATGTTTCGAATTATGTTTTGGTAACGTTACATTTCATTGTAGAAAATAAATACAACATATTTTTTACTTTTGAGATTTGATTTTTTGATTGAGACCCAAGTCAAAGGTTCAAATAATAGTAATAAAATTGTTTATCCATTTCTTAGCAAATGGTCATGAACAGTCACTATTTCTTTGTAAAGTGTCATACTATGTTATTATATGTACACTACTGTTAAAAGTTAAGATGGTATCACGTATCGAATAAAAGGCCAGCTACGAACATATAAATAATAAAGGCTCCACTATTGATATCCATTTTAGGAAACCCTAAAAAGTAAGAATTCCTCACTGGTGTGTAGCGGATATAATTGGCATCCTCCAGATTTACGAGTATTTGACTACATTTCTTTCTATTAAATAATATAACAATTGTACACAATTCATTACGGTTTGTTGCCAAATATTTATATACCATATTTATAGCGACTATAAACATTTATGTTTACTTGGTTTACTTATGCTATACTTATAATTGACTTATTAAAGAACAAATAAGGTAAATAATTGTGTAAATAAAGAGGTATACTTGAGGAAAACCGAAGTTACAACAGTAATTTCATTTATATTTTATACTAACTATACAACAATGATTTTCTCAACTGTGTCAATTTGTTTCACGAATTAAAATAATTCATTTTATAATTAAAAAAGAGAACTATAAACCATAAAAAAAGAGAACTCTCTATCTAAAATACGATATTAATTACACTGTGGAGAATTTATGGTTTCGATGGTTTAAAACCATGGCAAAGAAAATGTAACAGTGACAGTGGCTGTATAACAAACAAATGCAGAGTTATAAGAAAACTAAATGAGACACTAATAAACTACTCTTCCTGTGATGTTACACTCCTTAATTCATAACGAATTCTTTAAAATAACTATTTCGTAAATATCAAATAGTATACGCTCATCTCATACTAAACTAACATAGTCCATACAGATATAACGTTTATAATAAAAAACACGAAAGTGTCCGATCTTTTGCTGTTTATTATAAGTGAATATAAACGACAAAACGAATGTTATTTAAAGACGTAAACATAGATTGTACTACGAAGGACATGTATTATGACCATCTTTCATCTTAAACAAAGCAGAAGTTGCGGATAACAGCCAATAATGTATAAAAGCTCGTAACAGTAAAGGCGTCAAGTTCGACCTTTTCCAATTCAATCGAAAAATCAATCTATCTAATAAAAACATATTAAATGTGACTGAAAACGTCTTACTCAATCCTGTAGTACACTTCACAATTCCTCTGGGTCATTCTAGGATACTTCTGCCAATGTATAATTTATTTCTTAAGATCGCCGTAACATTTCATATTAGATTTTATTACTGTAAGGGCTTACAAATATTACAAACTGTTTTTACATGGTTCAACGTTACAAACTAAGAATTATATTTACATTACATAAAATGTCTCTTCCTCTATCTTTTCGCTTTGATCTTTTACACTAAGCAACGGATTTTAATGCAGTTTTTAGCGATAGATAGAATGATTCAATACGAAGGTATATATGTGTATGTATAATACATACACGTGTACATAGCCGGGGTGGGTAGCTATTTACTAATATATTTAAACCGGATTTCATACGAATAATTTTATGGTAAAAAAAGATCTCTATCGACGTTCTTCGACTCTTCGACATTCGCTGTTATTACACGTCGTGACCACGGCTAGTTGAACTTAGTTGAAACGTCGTGAGAGGTAAATACTTTACATATATACCATAAAATTAATCGTGTTAAAACCCGTTTAAATATACTAGTGATGTATACTAAACGAAGATTAAAAATAAGTATTGCCAATTATCAGCTGCCACTCGAAACATGCTACTATGCACGAAGTATCCACATGTGTAATTTGTATGTCGTCCAACCTACGGAGTTGAACATGCATTGAAAGCAAACAAGAGTGTTTGAACAGGATAACGTGCGCCTTCAAAGGGACTAACCTCATTTAAAAAGGTTACGCTCAAATATACCCATGAAAGGACATTGTCTTAAAAATGTATCTATTATTCTAGGTTTGTACATTATTCACGCTTCGCTAAGCCGACAAAATGTTGAATCGCATTTCTTCAAAATCGTTGATTAATTCCTTAGAAAATAGCTGTATTAGATATACAAAGTTTTTTACCGAAATAGTACAAAATCGTCAGCGTGAGGACGTTTGTCTCACCTATTTGAACCCGACAAGCAGTTTACTTTTTTATTATCAGTATTGAGGGGTGGAGATATGGAAGTAAAGTTACAGAATACAGAGACTTAATTAAGCGGTGCTGTTCGGTTATATATGAGACGGTAGCCATCAGGTACACATTCAGCTTATTATGGGCTATATGGTTATTTCAATTCCATAAAATTGGTCAATAATGAACAAAAGGATTGTAGTAACTTTTTATCCTTACACTACATTCCCATTCCCACATTTGATAACTTAATGGATTTATATTATTTTGTTTAATTCCGCTATCTTTAGCATGTTTGAAACCACACATGTTCAGTGCGGAAATTTAACCCCCGCTACTGGAAGCGTTACGACCTTCTCTATTAGTGATCAAATTGCGACCGTTATTTAATTTACACCTATATTGCGACACGTGTTTCGTTTCTGAACAAGGCATTATAGGCAATGATAGGTATATGATATAGCCAGAGTAGACCAGGTTACAGCATCGCCGATAATAATTATATAGGATTAGTATTAATCAAATTAAAATAAAAAAATTGTTAAACTACAATAAAAGATCTTCCCACACGAAGATAAATTTAGTATATGTAAAGTGAAATCTATGTAAATTCAAATGATGTTATAATATTATTTAAAAGTCAGTTGAAATGAAATTTATATGCAATCATCTGAACCTTTCTATTATTAGGATGGAGGGCATCTTAACTTTATAATGTAAATGTAGGGCGAGTTGCCTAAAAATTTGGCATAGAGTACGTAAAGTTCGTGTATCCACATCCATATTTACTCGACATATGCTAAGTGCTAATTTAAATGATAATTAGGGTTCTCATCTGAACAACAATAATAATAAGTGATTAAAGTCCAGTTCCATATATAAAAACGGTGTGTAATAGGTTATTTCACTCGCTCGTGGGGTATATTATTTATTTACATTAATATAGCCTGTGTATATATGGTGAAAAAACTTTTAGATTAAAAAACACACGCGATTGGTTAGAAAATTTACACAAATATCGTTTATAATTCACTTAAAAAATACAATTGATATGAGCAATACCTCCCTTTTCAAATCTATTGAATAATTTTAACTTTACTTGAACTACCATCGAATAGAAGTTAAACATTCAGTTCAGGATTTCAGTTTAATAAACATACTATGTATTTGTTTATTTTCTGGATAGAAATAATAATA